AGGTTTGTTCTCGTTCTACTTATCTCATGATGGGGATTGTGTTATGGTTGCATCTTGCATAATCGACGATCCGAAGTCTGGCCCCGTGAACGCCGTGCAAGAACACGTATAAACGCGATCCGAGTCGCGCCCTTACACGCATTCACGTGCGTCGATTCGCCCGCCTAGACAGGACTCGCGACGGAGCCTCCATCCCGCACGAGCACGCCGGGGCGCAACTAAGTTCGCCTGTCCAACACGTGCTCATGCGCGGTGACGATATCCCGACCCGCACTATCACACCGGCGATGACACCATGACGCGATCTTGGGGCTCAGACTCATCCTATGACCCAAACTATTTCACCCCTATAATAAACGAGCTCATAAGGACACGATACCCCTGTCACACGGAGAATCGACTATGTCCGCGGGAATTCCACTGTGCCACCAATAGTGACCCTCGGTGCTCCGATTTCCCTTCCGCCGACCACACCTACTACTTCACCCACCCAGGATTCGTTGAGATCACCACTAGTTTCCCTCCTTTCCGCCTCCTTCTCCCGTATTATCAACTCAGTGTCGTTCCGTGGCCGGCCATAGCCCCCTATTGGCCCCATACGTTTTGCATGAACTGTCGACGCAACGGCGCGCAGAGCACTCCGAAATTCCGAAGGCCCAACCCAGGTACGCGGCGGCCTGCGCCACGTGGCGGCCCCCGACGGCCTAACTTTTCAGGACCACCTCCACCACGGAGGAATTTTCCCGTAACCCGTCGTCCACAGTGTCCTGGTCCCTTGGGACTATGAGACCCTTGCGTGCGCACCCCTCGCTCACCCAATTGCATTCATATCCTTAAGACTCCCCCACTTCCCCAAAAAATCCTTGGCACACCCCTTTTCGCACTTCCAGGCCCACACTCCACTCCGATCAGGAAGTCGCGCTGGGCGTGAGGTTGGGCGTCACAACGTTATTTCGCCCTCATCTGCCGATTGTTTTGACGATCTTGCAGGAATTTTCCACGAGGGCAGGGGGTCTGCTGAGTTTCCATATCGTCACCCTCCCCCGGTCTGGTAAGTTTTCGGGGTTTTTACATGATCTTTAAAATAAACCCCGTGCAAAGCACTAGTACAGGACACATTGGCCCGTGGGTGTCAGCATGAAACCCGCACCACTTCGGAGGCCGCTGATTATTTTTTTCAACGGTGTCCTTGACCGTGTGGCGGCCTAAGAAGAAAAGGTAAGACCAACAGTTGACCATGAAGTCAACAGTCGACCATGAAGTCAACAGTCAACTCGTGGACCCAGGCCCATATCCGAAATGTCAAAGTCAACACACAAGATTTTCTGGCCATCAATCGGGAATGATCTTAAAGTGGTCTGCAGGTTCCGGAAGATTCAGGCCTCATGGAGTCCAATCAAGAACTGGGACAAATTGACTATGGACCGTCAACATTTGGAGGACCTGGGTCCTACTGTGACTGAAGCTGGCTATGTGACGCGCCAGCCTCCGGACCGGCGCCATCTTCTGATCATTCGCCTCCCCCCCCCCCCCTCTCTTTTTTTCAAATTTTGGTGTTCTTGCAAACACGCCGACGGGGCCTCTTTTTGTATTTTCCATGAAGTAATGTGCATTGTTCATAAGCAGAGAGGCCCGTCCTTCTCAGGACCTTCGTCAATTTGTTTGGATCGGTTTTTGGAATTTCATCTTTTCGCAATTTGGAAAATACATGGGAATTACGCGCACCTTAGCAAGCGGGCTAGGAATTTGGCTCAATGGTTAAAGAATTCCGGAATAAGCGGGACCCGACGTGTCCTTTTTACGCATGAATATTCTTGGCTTCGTATCGGAAAATTCTGGGAATTCTTGTGTGAATCTGAATAGACATAGGACTCTTTCCCGCATTCACTGTATGCGCAGAACTGGTGTTTTTCAATTTTGAATTAGCGTAGGATTCTGAATAAGTTGTAACTGTTTTGGTGCCCTTTTCGCTTTCATTTCGGTGTCATGCATGCGAGCTCTCCAACCTTCCCCCCCCTCCCTCTCCGTTTCCCCCGCTACCTTCGACACTCTCTTCTTCGCGCTCACTCTCTCTCTTTCTCTTTGTCTTTCTGTAACCGTTTTTCCATCTCTGCTTTGCCTCACGTGCCTTTTCTCTTTCTTGATCATCTGAATCTTGGATCCGTTTCGCGCTATCCTTCGCGCCCTTCTTCGGCCTGCCCTAATCCTTGCGTCGGAATACCCTGTCAATCTCCTCCTCCCTTCTAGCCGAGGAAACACGTTGTGTAAGAGGAAATTCCCACTACACAATGATTCTGAT